GGCTGGCTCTTCTGGGATGTACAGTAGGGAATTGTACTACCAACCTGTGGCTCTGCATCCAGATACTTAACTCACTGAGCTATCCAGCCAGCTTTTCCAAGCATTAGCACTAAAGCAGTGGTCATTAAAGGAGATACAGGCACATGTAAACTGTAGGTAACCAGAACAGCTATGGCTTTGTTCATCAGAGCTGCATGAATTGCTATAATTATTGGTGTACATGAGGGCATTCTGCAAGCCAATTCAAAAATTGTGGTGCCACAAAACAAAACAAAAATATAACTATGAAACTGGACCTTGGATCAGCACGAATTTTGGCACAGATGTAACAGAACATTTGCTCTTGCTCTGTGCCAGTTTTGGGGATGTATGGGCAAAGCGTTTTCAGGTTATAATTTATTTAAAAGGAACACTGTTCCATCTTCATGCAGAACTAAGCAACCTTGAGCTCAGCCAATTCAAAACAGATTAAATACATTGATAAGACCAATTTTGCGGACCTGGAAAAAATTGTCAGTACCAGCCTCTTTTTTCATTTCAAAGGAATTCAGGCATTCATGGTTCTAATTCACATACTGAAAGTAGTGATCTTAAAGCAAGGTAACTATGAGTTTCTGGGCTTTCTCTTATAAATTGCTAACATTCTAAATGGTAAGATCTTTTGAAAATGCCACTTAGAACCTCATTCAATGATTGGCAAAAATTTAACTCCTTCCTGGCCAAACAATTTTAACTTCTTCTTATGAAGATATTGAAAAAGACATTTTAAAAATATAGTCAATAATATTCAGCAGTTCACTTATTTAAGCTCTGAAATAACTGTTTATTATTTATTTTTTGCTGCATGACAAGTGGTTAACTGATGAAAAAAGGAGCCAGCTTCTAGGATTTTCCCTTACATGTTGTCACTTCATGAATGTTGTTGTTAACATTCAGACTGCCCTTTGCTATGTAAAGCTTGGCATCTTTTTTCCTGCTGGCAACAGGATATCGTGCAGCTATATCAAGCCATTTCCTGTCTTTCTGAATCATGGGTACAGAAGCATAATATCCCACATTAATAAAACATAGGGTTTTTTAAAAAAGAATTTAACTATGCTTTCCACCTTGCTCTGAATGGAAGTGATATGAAGCTATTGTAGCTAAGAGCAACCTGGATCTTCTCCAAAAAGGGTTGCATTTCTGACAGAATTACAAGAGTGCCAATATTTTTGGCCCTGACTATATATGCTGCCTTTCTCCTAGAGGATCCAAGGTGGCTTACAGTATTAAAAGAAACACAATTAAAAACTAAATATTAAATTAATATAATATTAAAAAAAAGAAAAATAGTTTTTTATATTTTATAGTACAATTTTAAATTCAGTAAGATATTATAATGCAATTAAAAGGAGGGAAAGAAGAAATAGCATTCCTAAGTGTGGCAACTACTTCCAAAGCTTAGGTAAAATAGCTGCTAGCACAAATATGCAAGATGACCTGCTCATGCAAAACAAGACACACTCTTTCCACCCACACTGCTGATTCTTGTTCAAAATATCCTCATATCACCACCTGTGTTTGGTATAGATGTAATTTCCAGAGAGTAATAGGCAGCTGAAGGCACAATGGAACAAATCTGCTGGAGGTTCTTAGGCACACATAAGACGACTCAATGACACCACTCATTAGTGGCCAGGGAATGATTAGGAAGCTTGCATTGTGACAAAGTTATCCTGAGGTTTAAATATCCTCTGAATTTTCTTGCCTTCTGGGGATAGCTTGATGCACTAGTGCACTTTGCAAGACAGAATTTCCCAATAGCTCTGTAACAGCTTATTTTAATGATGTATTCATAGTTTTTGTGTGGAAGTCTTGCTCTGAACTGGATGGAACAAAGAAAGTGTAGTTAGGCTACAACAAATCCCTCTATTTACAGGTGTTCTCCGGGATTTCACTGTTGAATATCCCACACTTGGTAACTAAACTACTGTCTAGTAGTTCTGAGGTTAAATTTCTTAATGTGTTTCAGCAAGTATCTCTTTAACACATATGATCTAAACACATGAGATAGAAGGAAATAAGCTCCACTATAGTTATACTCCATGAAAACAGTGACATAAACCCCAGACTGTCCCTGATATTCGATTTATGACCTATCTTTGTGCCTCTTTGGCACATGAATAAGACAGCTACAGATGATGATGATGTTCTTAAATGTAGGGGGTTTTGTTGTTGTTGTTGTTGTTGTTGTTGTTGTTGTTTAGTCATTTAGTCATGTCCAACTCTTCGTAACCCCATGGACCGGAGCACACCAGGCCCTCCTGTCTTCCACTGCCTCCCGGAGTTTGGTCAGATTCATGTTCGTAGCTTCGATGACACTGTCCAACCATCTCATCCTCTGTCGTCCCCTTCTCCTCCTGCCTTCACACTTTCCTAACATCAGGATCTTTTCCAGGGAGTCTTCTCTTCT